GAACTACAACACGTAAGCCCTTTGACAGGTAGAGGTTTTCAACCGCATGGAACTTACCATTTGTACATGGAAATCCGTAATAGTTGAAGCCGAAGTCAAAGTTTTATCACGGGAAATATAAGCGGTTGCTTTTCTTGTCCGATAGGATTGAGCACAAATAAATTGATTTAGGGTTTAGAGAAAGATGAGGAGTGTCACAAATTATCTTTGTTTCGTCCAATACTACGGATGTCGAAATTCAAGAGCACCCTACAGAATATTTTACTCTGAATATTACTAGTAATGCCAACCCAAGAGACATGGCAATCCAGTGACGTTTTTTTGAAAACAAAAACTGAAAAAAATGGAAACAGAGGCACTACAAGGGAGAGGTTCGCTCCAGATCCACAAGACCGGATTCATATATATAAGGTACCTCCTCATCAAGGCACTTGGTCTCGTCCTCACTCCTTCCAACTATGCATTTCCCGTGAAAGGGAGAGTAACTACACAAAAAGGGCTGGCAATTAGATAGTGTGACTTACTTGATCAGTGGTCATCTGGTATAGCCATTTTCTACGCAGTGATAACACATAGGTGTTGACCAATACAGGCCACCAATCGTGAAGCACGGTTAAACAGGATCCGTGACCGGGTAGATCAAGTAGTGGTTGCACCACGGAATGCGTAGAAACGGAGAATCCGTCTGGCTGTTTACGATGCTTGCCACGTTTTGTGCCACCACCACCAACACCACCAGCTTTCTCCCCTGACGGAGGGTGTGATCGGAAAACACGAAGCATGCAACGTGCAGCCAAGTGCAGTACACGTAACCATTGCGAGCATTCGTGTAACCCCTCTGGTGGTTCATCACCCTGTAAACAAAAACAAACGGAACGTGAAAAGAGAGGTAAGCAGTGCTCTTAAAAATAAATGAGTTGTCTATTTACTTCCTTTTTAATTCATTGAACATACAAATGTACAGTCAACATTCAGGAAGGGGGTCGCGGCCATACAAAGACTGCCTGGGAAGACGGGCGGTGGTGGAGCGGTTCGAACCCGAGACTCTCAGGTCACAAATTGGTGACCTAGCCACTTGACCACCATCGCATTGACCTTGCTTGACAACAGCATTGCGATCCTCGTGAACCAGATACTTTTTCTGTGTAAAACAATGGCTAAGCGCAGTTTTATGGGAACCAACTGCTACAGGGCGACTGACTACAGTCCGATTAGGGAGCGTTGTTCTGACTAATTGTAAGAGAACGTCCAATGAAACAAGGACCATGAACAATGCACTCACAAGTGTCAAACGATACACGGTTACATATTGGACACTTGACTTACCACTTTACAAAAATATGGACCACATATCACAGCTTCAAGCAACTGCGTCACTTGTCCCCGGCCCGATGAACAAGCGGATTGGAGCAAAATGTGCACCGATTTGTCGTCGGGAAGTGGCTTCAGTTTCGATGTGTACTCCACTCGATCCAGTTGGCGCACTGCATCCGTGTAACACACTACAGCAGCCGAGAACAGACAACTGGCAATTCGAAGAAAGTTGATCAGAACACGTCGATCAACAACGCATGGAGTTTGTCGTGGTTTGGTTTCCGGGGATGACCATAACAATCCGGGCTTATCGCAACACGGACATGTCGGAGTTTTACGTTCCACAGTTTGAACATCCGGATCGAACGCGTTGGAATAGGCGTCAGGAATCAAATGTTCTACGGGACAACAATAGACACGAGTCGTATTATCGAACAGATAGAATAAACGTTTCGCACACGGCAATCGGAGAAAACAACGCGGGCACGCATAAGGCAACGACTGATCAAGTTGATACCTGGGGGGACACTCACTAGGAATTACTGGAACGAAACACCAAAGAATGTGACACAGTCGCGGTTCACCAAACATGAATAAAGTCAAGATCCATATACAAATGAAAACTGACTCAGATTAAAACAGGACACGAACTGTCAACGTGCCCTGGTGTGGCACTTCCCGGGTTATTTTCCAGTACTGTTGGGTAGGAACTGACCATCGTGAGAGCAACTTGAGACATTTTTGGCGCCGTCGCGACATCCGGCTGTCTGTGAAGGGTCGATTATATGCTGCAGCAGTTAGGCCAGTTCTGCTATACGGTACAGAGACTTGGCCACTAAGGAAACAGGATAAAAATAGATTGTCGGTGTTCGAACACGTCTCATTGCACGAGTTTGGTGGGGTAACCAGACGAACAATGCTGAGGTTAGGCGTAGTTTTAGGCAGTCGCGGTCGTCCACTGGAGCAAGTGATCGACCTCCATAGATTACGTTGTTTGAGGTACGTGTTACGCAAGTCACCAAATAGGCAGCCACGGTGAGCGATGTTTGCCGAGACAGGTAGCGGTTGGAAAAAAGTCAAAGGTGGTCAAATGAAGACCTGGCATGAGGGTGTGAAAACCTTAACCAGGAGACTAGGTCACATAGGCTTCGCTAGGCTCCCTGGTTGGGGACCCCGAGATGATGGTCAGACACACTGAGTGATATGGCTGGGTGTCGCTCGTGCATCCACTCATTGTTCTCCTAACACCACTCTATAGGAATTCTTCATCTTCCGCTTGAATTTGCTTTCCACATTCCAATCTTCGTTCTGCTCTTTTATCCAAATGGGGCACCATAAGACAGCAACCAAAACCGGCGCACGAAAGTGCATGGTTAATAGTTGTAAAAACTGAACTGAACTGGTAGGAACTGAAGGTCTGAGAAGTTAACGCCTTTTTCTTGTTTAGATTGTCAAGTAACTATCAATGATTTAAGTAACTCTTCAATATCCGTGTATAGAAAGACAACGCACGTTAGCAGATATTTTTCCCACGCCCCTGACCACTCCCCCAATAAGTTGAAGGCTACTGTGGTGATCAACCTCTTAACTAGGGAGTAAATCAATTCGTCTCCAACAAAAAGGACAAATGCAAAGAAGTTCAACTGGTTACAAGAGAATCGGTGGATAACGAATATTCACCAAGTTTCCTACAGAAAATTCGAAAAAGATCCACAGAACCTGAACGCAAAACGACCGCTCGGATCGCAGCTAGTATCATACCTTATCGCCGCAATACATCAGAAGACATCCAACGAATATTGAACCGTTTCAATATATGGGTCGCGCATTTCGGAGAACCAACACTCTTCGTTCACTCTTGATGCGACTTAAGGACAGACGACCAAAAGCTGATCAATCGAATCTCGTTTACAGGAGATGTAGATAGTGTACAGCCACGTACGTTGGCCAAACAAGTCGATAACTAAAGAAGAGAGTAGCCGAACATAACAGGAAATCCAAACACCCTCCAAGAAATACATCGGAGCTTAGTATCCTTGAGAGGGACTCAGTAATCGCTCTGTATTCTATTTCTGAGGGACGATCTATAGAATTCGAAAAACCGATTATTCTGAAACAAGGTTTCATGTCATAGGGAGAACGATTAACTAGTTATTGTTCATCAACAGCGATCCTTTTTGCGTCCATCGATTGAACGGGGTCCAATTATCAGTCCACGGGCTTGATGCCACACACACCAATCATTGACACAACATTCAATCTCACCACATCATAGAACTGCTTCAGATTAATCTCCGATATCCTACGACGTCATCATTAGCCTTTTTACCTCTTGTTCCATTCACAACTTCCATGCCCTCATTTATTACCACACAGAAATTAACTCAATTTTCCTTCACCTAGATCAACCAAAAGAAACCCCCATTTGATATGGTTTGCCTCACAGTTTTTGTTTAATGTTTGCCCTTTAATTGACTTGAAAAAGGCCTCTCAAGAGGGTCGAAACGTCATCAACCGAAATCTGTTTTTTTTTCGATTTCCTCTCGTTGTGGCTAATCCAAACATTCCTATACAGATCTGACTCTAGAAGTACGTTGCCTTGCTGAGGTCACTATACGCATATACCTCTGATCGACTAATGGTCTGTGACAATCTAATTAGGTCGTCTGAAACCAGTAGCAGTGTTTGTCGAGGGTGCCCTATTTCGCCATTTCTGTTCAATTTCGTCGCAGCAGAAATACTGGAGAACCTACTGGGTTGTCT